GCTCTGCGTTGGCTGACCTTGCCTCTCAAGCCGCACAAGATATGATCAGAGTGTGCTGGCAGCTGTGGCCTTGCCTAAATAACACCCAAGGTATCATGTAGAGCAGGTACACAGATGCCTTTTCCGTCGACAGACTGTTGTTCTCTAGGCTTCACCCTCTTCACCCTCCCTCCCTTTACAGCATCTTGTAGTCTAAGTACAGTGTTTTAAACTCAGATCCTGCTGATTTAGCATTTCCATTTAGTTCCATATTATCTCTCTCAATTGCTTTAACAAGTAACTTAGGCTTGTCTAATGTGAATTTCCACATGGCAAAGAGAGCAGCAGTTGTAGTGCTCAGACACTGTGCAGCGACAGCCCCAATCACTATGTGTAATTTAGCAGCGGGGGACAATGAGCTAATCTTGCAGGAGAGCATATACTCCCAATTTAAAATCAATCAAGATGTTTCGTTAGGACCTCCACTTTAGCTGTGCTGTAAATAAGAGCTAGAGTCGAAGCGTGCAATTGTTGTCTGCCTGCATGGGGGGTCATTTTAAATCCACTGATAGATTCACAGCACATTTCACTGCAAAGTTTCACACACATTTTGACACTAATATGCCCCATTTTTCCTAATCATTTTGCTGCTGCACTGCAAGTAATTAGGTATAATTATGTCAGAGGATGATTTCTAGCCATTTATTGAAGAACTGACTTACAAGCAATCATTAGCAGCAGCATGGTTTTAAATACTTGAAAGAAAAACAAGTGACACATGCAGAGGCAGAAAAGTTATGGCGTTGGAATTTGTAATCCAATTATCTTATTCTAGTGAATAAAAAACTGCGCTGTGGGTTCCTATGATTTCCCGTCTCCAACCATCGAGGACTTACTTAATGCCTTCAATCTTTCCTGCTCACTCTCCTCTCTGCAAATTAATTTATGGTCTAATTACAGGACAAGCCTCCAGATATGAAGGAACACAAATCACTGGTCCTTACCAGATGGCAGAAAAACGGCACAGGATAATTGAAAGTCTAGAAGTGGATCAATATTTAGAAGCCTAAGGTTACATGAAGTATGACAATACTATTAACATGGAAATATGATGCATTACAACCACAGGCAAATTGGTGTTATTTGATGGTGAATGGGTGCTGACTGAAATGCTGGCTTCGCAATAACAAAGATGCCATACTGGCTTTATCACAGGTTAACCGCTCCCATACACCCGTATATGATCAAAGATGTACTGCTTTAGTCTCATGTGCATACCTATAGCCATATGTACTTATGCATGCACGCTGTTGGCCAGTGGTGTGTGGATCAGGTCTGGAGGTCTTCTTTCCATCAGAATGTACCATGAAGGCTCAGGACCCCACCCTCCTCCAGCATTTACCTCTGGCCTGTTAAAAATGATATCAGCTCATGGAGGGCAAGCATTAGCATTTGCATTTTATTGGAAGCACAGAGATTTAGAGCAGAGGATATATCAGCTCTGAGCAGACAGAATTAGTTAACAATGCATTACCTGCCTTTTATGGCAGCTATAACTCTTTCCCTTGGTGGGGAGAGGGGATGAAGGGAGGAGTGGGGGGTGAAGGGGAAACACAGCCAGCAGAGGGTTGGCGGGGAGAGCAGTGATGCAGTGGAGGGGGTATTTAGAAGGAAGAAGCTTTGTCTATGGGGCTTTACTGCACATTAAGTGTGATAGCCACCCAAATTAGAGCATCACATCGCAATCACCTTCACACAGATCAGTGCACTGTGCGGAGAAATGATGCACCAGTCATCACTGCAGACTTTTTATCTGGTTGCAACAAGAAAATGGAGGCACAGCTGTTGGCCAGCTGTGCCTCCATGATTACAGCACGAGGAAAGGCCATGTCAAATGACATCGGCCTCTGTGATACTTATGACTTGTGCCACTTTTAGAGACATTTTTCACAGTTTCCCTGGGACACTAACTGAAGAATACAAATCTTCTTTTCTTTCATATATATAGGATAGTAGTACTCTGCGCTGTGCTTTTGTGTTATCTATGTGAGCGCATACATGTATTTGTTTGCTGTTTCAGTGGTATCCTTGAACAAGCGGTGTAGCACTGATGAGGCCCACTGCAGCAGTCCCTTCCCTCTCCACAGCTCCCCCGACACTCATTTGGTGTAATGTGCTGCAAGACGACCCACCTCTGCCGTGGGCAGTGCCCTGAGGAACTCATTTGCACGAGAAGTTACTGGTACAGAAGGGACTAGGTTTGAAGTACAGCGAAGCGGCTGCGCATAAATTAATGAATATATTTACACCAAAAATGTAGCAATATTTTAACATATGATCCCTATTGGGATAACGAACATACTTAGCAAACACACCTGGCTAAAAGAAAAGCAGTATTTGTGTCTCTAATTAACATAAATACTGCTGTGTTAGGTATATTTTCAAAATATCTACTCATTATTTAGTGCACTGTCCAAAGCCTATGAATGTATACTTAGGAAAAAAAGCTCTTCTTAGCTAAACAAAGAACAGACAGCTCCTTATTGACTCTGCCACACATAAGTACACACTAGTACACTACACATGTTTTTGCGCTGGAATCAGATTTTCCTAATTTAGATTTTTAGTTTTGGTGAAGCGTCACTCTGCACGTCAGTTGACTGCGTACCAGAATTACCTCTACATCGGTATTTGCCACACAGATCACAGGCAGAGCTCCCATGAGTGCCACTGTGGCTTTCCCAACCAAAGCCACTGGCTTGGGTTTGTCAGCAGACAGCTCCAGGCTCCATAAAACAGCCTGCTGCTCGCTCCCTTTGCTCGGCTTAATGGTCCCAGGGGCTGGGAATTTACTAGTGACCTTTGCATTCCATTTGGAGTGTAAAAGCCTTTTTGCTAGGAAAATTCCATCACTTTACTGAGCCGCACTTTGTGTGTGTGTGTGCGTGTCAGAGAGAGAGAGAGAGTCACTACAAAAGGCAGTAAGAAAGAAAAAGAGGGTGGTGAGAGAAGAACAAGGATTAGACTCAACCTTTACCGCACTTTATCACTGATACTGCAGTTGGTCCCCATTCCAGAGACACTTTTCTATTCATAAGAAATAATTAATTTCCTGTTTTTGTATGGTGGCCAGACTGTGACAAAATGGAGGCACTTCCTTACATTTTGAGTGCTTTTGCTCCCTCCTTGTTATATTTTGAGTCACTTTCTAATTGAGGGGGGAAAGAATTCTCACATATTACATTATTACATATTCTGTTTATTGAGTTTGTTATTCAACCTATGCGGTGCTTACAATGACTGCATTTTTTTATGGCTTCGTCATTACATCAGACAAAGGGGTGCCTCAATGGCCTGCAGGGGCTATAAGGTGCCGACAATGCATGGACCACAATGTCCTTGATTCGCATCCTGCACAGGACCTTTGTTGCATGTCCTTCTCAATCTCTTTCTCTCTCTACCCTCATTTCTATGGATTACTATCTGTTTCTAATAAAGACATAGAATGCTCCCCCCCCCCCAACAAAATTCAAAAAATTCAAAGCATGTATATATAGATATTGATAGATAGACCCTTTTCAGCCTGAAAACACATTAAACTATTTTTGATGTTGACAGGATCATTTATACTATATAACTCCTTGATGGGGCCATGATTACAAAAGCTTTAAGTGGCTATTAATAATAACTATCAAGCAGTTTAAAAGTATCACTGTAACCACCATATCTTGCATCGTACTATTTTAATAGCCATGCAGTACCTGGTGTCTCTAGAATCTCCACGAGAGTTTGAAATAAATCTGTAAGTTTGAACACTGCATGCATCACTGCACAGGACGAGTTTGTGGACATACATGTGAAGAAGAGCCGTAGTGACGAAGAAACCAATTGTCGTCCTGGAGAGAGTTGGGTTGTTTGTCTGTAAACACAACATGAATCCATGCCCCCTCTTAAAGATGTGTAATAATGTATAAAGGCTGGTTAGAAAAGATTCATTTGTGAGTTTCATTGTTTGAACTGTGAATGACTTGGCATAAAAATGTAGTTTTGACTTTTGCATTGGCGTTGTCCAATAGCGCCATCTGCAGGGTGAGAGTATCTGATGCTCTTTAAACATTTTCCTTAACAAAGAAAACATTAAAATGTCTGTTTTGACAGCTTTGGTGTCATATTTGTGACATATAGGTTTTTATTAATCACCCAGGGCATATGGTTATTTTTGACTCCTTATATAAGGAAATCCTGAGTCCTGATGTCGGGCTGAGGATCAGAGTAGTTTAACACTCATTTCATCCAAAAGAATTTCCATTAAATAAGTGATTTTGACTTTTTTTTCTTTTAACTAACCGGCCCCCAGGAATTTAATTTAAATTTTTAGTTTATGTCTCTGCAGAAATTCCTTTCACATATTGAAACAAAAGTCAACTGACAACTTTTAACAGTGAAAATGTTTATTAAAGGGTGCTACTGTACAGATATTTGTAACATTTAGTTGACACGAGAAATAGTCTACTTTAAAAAAAATGCAGCACCTGCAAAAACTGAGGACAGAGCTTCAGGGTCTGAAATGACAAAATATTTTTAATGAGAGAAAATTACACCAAAACCGTAACCAGTGATATTGAGGGACATTATTCATGTGTTGAAAGGGGAGGTCATGGTCTTCATTAAAAATGCCGATTAAGGCCAAAAAATAAACTGAAACAAAAATAGATCTTGCGACACCTAAATTTGGTCCGAAGAGTCCATGATGGAGCAGATCAAACTACAAAACCAACATCCATCTTGTAGAAGAATTGATCTCCGCTTGTCAGGCAGCAACATCGTCCTCCTGAAAAACGTGAATACTTATGGCAAAGAAAAATCAAATAACTCATCCCAATCAAACAAAATATGCATGATCCAATCAGAAACTGGTTTTAATGTTTCAAAATAACAATACAATGATAAACAACAAATACTCTAATTGCGAGGTGGATTTTTATTCACACTTACACTGCAAAAAAAACCAAAAAAAAAAAAAAACTATCGAAGTATCCCTAACTAACGAGATCCATAACACCATTAAAACTGCAGGCTTGTCATCAGAGAGAACGGTCACTTGGTCAAAAAGATTCCCATCCTTTAGCCACAAGGTGGCAGCCCCCCAATGGTGGGTGATTGATGCTGGTTTCATTTCATGTGGATACAGTGACGATTGTCTAACCCGTGAACATGAGACTGGTCCAAAGATAACAATGCAATTTTAAAAACAAACAAAAAGGTTCAGAAGTGAGCAAAATTGTTATTTTCCTGTTCATTTATGTCCGTTTCTTGAACTAGTGATCGGGTAAAGCAATTAAAAAAACACCACACAACGTTCACGTTTAAACTTGGAAATAAGAGATAAAAATGACAATTTCATAAAAAATGAACAAAGATATCATCACAACATTATAAAGACATATTGGCCGGTGTCTTCTGCAAGTTTGCAAATTGAGTAATTATGTACCGGTAGAGAGGACAAACTGAAAAAAACAAGAGATAAAAAGTTTTTAAAAAGGAAGTGATTATGCAGCCAGGAAAGCACTGCGGTGGTTGCTTCCTTAATATTTAATACTACCGTTTTATCCTCAGTGGTGTTAAGAGGGTTCTTAAAGCAAAGAGATGCACTGGACTTAATGATGATGGGGGGGGGGGGTTGCACCTGCCATGGGACAAGCTCACAGTTGACACAGCTTTCACCACCTCTGGACTATGTTCTGAGTTTTAACAGATGGCCACATGTGGTCAGAGATGCAACATACCTTACTGACACAACCGTTTTCTGAGATATGTGTTGCAGAAGGAAAGAACAGAATACAAAGACAGAACAGCAGAACCCCTCCCCAGTAGCATGTCACCCATGTCTGCTACAGCTCCCCCTCCTGTCTGATGGATCCTGCTCAGCAGTCTGGGGCCTTTGTGCTCCAATGGGGCATGGATGGAGAGAACACGACTGTGTTCGCTGTCTTTGTTGGACATGGTGAAGAGCAAAGATGGGAGGTTTGGGTGTGAAAAATGTCTGACTCAAGGTTGTCCCTGCAGCTTCCTCCTGAGGTGATGCACTCATGCTGTGACCGCGTCCTTCTCCTTCTTGTCACTGTCTTCATGCCAGGTGAGACGTTCCTCATAGAAGGCTATGACGATCTGTGGGCACTTATTATTGGCCTCCTTGGCGAGCACAAGATCGGCCTCATCGGAGTCTTTCCTGCAAGAGATGAAGGATGAAGTTGGATAATACACATTTTTCCATACATGTACCATCTCTGTCTTGGAGCTTGTCAAAGATGGCAACTAATAATACATTACAATATGTTAGAAAAGTGTACATCAGAAACACATTCTCATACACACGACTGTATGCTCTTGTAATTACATTGCACACATTTTAATTATCACTATTGATGTGACATTTCATACAAACTTTTTAACTTCAAATTATTATTTTATCAGGGAATATATAATTTAGCGGTCCTTGTGAATGCTTTTACAGCCATGTAATTTATCCCCCCCCCCCCCACTGTTAAGACCCTGTCAGAGAGAACATGGTTGGAGTTGTGTCAACCGCTGGCTTCAGCACACTTGTGCTTTGCTGGACGACTGAAAAGCTGCAGTGGCGCAGAACAAGCCACTGGAAATAACTGTTTTCAGACTGCAGTGACACCACTGTCGCGTTGTGTCTAAAAAAAGGCCATTAGACTTAAATGAAACGGTCATTAACATGTCAGTCATACTAAAAAATAATTATGTTTAGGGTATTTCAGTGTAATTTAGTATTTGCTTATCTTTCATAATTTGAGTCGGATAATGTTTCAAAACCAAAACGGTTACAAATCATGAGAACACATTATAAATAGTGCTTACAGGAAAAGTAGGCAGATGGAGCTTGTGAATCTGTTCAGGATGCGCCGTGATTACATTCATTTTCCTTTTTATATTCCTATAGATTTTTTAAGCATTCATTTTTTTAAAAAAGTTAATGACCAAATCAGCTAAGGTACAACTGTTGCCTCACCATGAAATGCTGCTTGGTCGGGCATGAGTGACGAGGTACTACACATATATCCATCTAGCTAATATGTAATGACATTAAATTTTATGGTGTGGCTTACTGTTTGTACACGAATGGACAGCTAGGCTATTAGTGCTGCTAATGGGTGATTTGTCAGTGGCAATCTGGCACATTCAGAGCTGCCGTTTAAAAGAATCATGCCCGACAGGTCACAAGCAGCAGCAGCAGCAGCAGCACAGATAGAAAGTGTTGCAGGCAACACCCGCAGCACCAAAGGGTCAACACTTAGAAACCAGCGATGTACCGGTTTTTCAGAGCAAATATGAATACCAAGTACCTGATTAAGTGGAAACACCAACGCAGAGTACTTGCGAGTCATATGCATAATTAGAAGAATAGAATTTGAGGAGAAAACAACCATGAGAATTTTCTCAAGTTAAACTTTCTCATACAGAAAACTATCCTCGCCGCCTAAAATCTAAAGTCTTACCGTTACAATCTTAAAACTTAATCACCTGTGTCGTTTGTTTAAAATAAAATAAAAATGTGGAGGATGTTGAGAACCCCTAAGCTCATGTCACAAATCTCTTGTGGTATCTGAAACATGCATTTGTAGATGCAGTTGATTAGCATGCTGCAGAAACAGTCAGTGCACATCCACTGGAGAAGTCCTGAACATTCAGAAAAACAGCCAGTGTGTCTAAGTACAGAGACGGGCCACGGAGCCACATGTCTTCAAGAAGGATTGCTTTTATAAAAAATTATTATTATTTTTTATTTTTTTTTTAAATAAATAAATAAATAAATAAAAATATATAGGTCTTCTATTTTTTTTAGCCATCTTGAAATTACCTTTCCACAAAACTAGGGGCACAACAACAAAAAAAGCACGTACCAGTGAACCACAAGTGTGACAAATGAAGATAGAAAAGTCAATGCACTGGTTTGACATGCCCACTCTAAATCCTGATTCGGGGACGGCCCTTCATTTAATAGTTAGTCATCTTAGAACACATTTTAAATGACAACCTTCCTGTATTTTTGAATAGTGATTACAACATTAGCAACATTGGGCCCAAACTATGTTCCACATGCAAATTTTTGAGCTGAACAGATAAAGAAAACCTACCACTTCATAAGAAACATTAGGTCTCCACATGAGTCAGTTGCGCCAATGATCTTCTCTGGCTCCAGTCCTCTCTCAAAGCCACGTGCAACTAGAATGTCCTCCTGGAGGGCAATAAAAAGAGAAAAACATTTTATATAGCATGCAAAAATACTGGAGTATGTTACAAACAACCGTAGACTACTTGCGTTGAGACACATTGACGTTCAAAAGTTTGGGCTCGCCGGCCACAAAACCTTTACTCGTTACAGTCAGGTGGCTGAAAGGACTGCTCTGTGTCTTTGAACTGTCTTTCATGCTTTTAGGTTGCAGAAAGTCCTCCACATAAAGAGATGCTATTTTGTACAAGGTGTTTGCAAAAAATAGTTGTGTTTTGTACACGGTTCATCCAGACTGACAAGAAAGAGACAACGATCCCCCTGAGCAAGCGTTGCATAAGAATAGGAGGAAGGAAAAACAAAACAAACTAGAAGCTCAGCATCGAAATGTGTGCAGATTTAAATAGGAACAGGTTCCAGTTTCAGAGTCAAGTGCACAGTAAGGCAGCCTATAACAAGCTGGAATATAAAACAGGTGGGTTCCTTAAGCAACGCTAATCTTAAAACATCACGATAGAAATAGACAGTTAGCTTTGGGTTAGTATTATATGAATACCAGCTCATCTATACTATGGACTGGCCCAAAGAAAAACAGACTAACTCAATATTGAGCGCCTGAATGCAGAGACGGTTTTGGTTCAATAATGACCGAGGGTCACTTACGCTTTTCTGGACTGAAAAACGAATTTATTTATATATTTATTATAGTATTTGAGCAAAAAAGGGTGACAACCGTCCTCTACCCTGGCATGTAACACTTTGGGTTCAAACTATTTGAATTGTATATAATACATAAGGTGTCCGAGTTACACTATTTTTTTATCTTTGTTAAAATAGTAAACGTTGAAGGGCTGGGGGATATATCGATGGCATGATACGAGACTAGAAATTGTCTTACATTTTGGATATTGTTATATGACACAAGTGCTGGTTTTGAAGCTACATTAAAAATGAATCGCTCAACAGAGAAAATATAAAATGTTCCCTCATTTCCTAACCCACTGATTCAATATAAGTTTGCTGCAAACTAGCAGAGGCTTTGGTTAATCAATGACAAGCTGCTGAAGTGTTTCCTTCTAAGATAACACCCCCATCAGCTGTGACGGGGGTCTTAATGAGGTTTTAATCAAGAGCTAAGCTACTGTTTCTTCCAAGAGTGGAAAGCTACTTTTTAGTCAACTTCACATGTGCAAAGTATCTATAAAAAACTAAATTATACCCCATCCACTGCAGACTTGTTTTGAACTGATAAAACTACTGCACATTACAGCACACATTACATACCTCCTTCTTCTTCTTCTTTTTGGGCTTACTTCCACCCTCCACCTCCTCCTCATCCTCCTCCTCTTCTTCCTCCTCCTCCTCATCGTCGTCAGAGCTTCTCTTCTTCGAGCTACTGGAGTCTTTGGTGCGACCCGAGGAGCCTGTGACTGATTTGCTGGCCCCACTGCTGGGCGTGGAGCTTCCACCACTGCTGCTGCTGCTCTTCTTATAAGTCTTCATGAATTCTGAAATAAGCTCAGGACAGCCCAGATTCTTCTCTGGCTCCCAGGTGTTGTGTTTTCTGAAGAGGATCACATCATTTTTATTAACATACTTGATATATCATCATCATCATCTTCCAATGGAATCGTATCATGATTGAATCATATATCGGGATACACGTCGTCAAAATTGATAATAACAAGCACACTGAAACGGTTATCTTAATCTGATTACTCTGTATTTGGGTGCAATGTATGAAGTCAGTGTATAGCTGGAAGTATGTATTGTTTCTCTATAATTTCACTTGAAACTGTTTTGTACATTTTGCACAAAGTCTTATTACATAGGCTTTACCATGTGGTTACGTCACAGACGTTTTATTTAATAAACTACCAGAAACATCCTATATTGTGATATATCGTTATCAAGATATGAAAGGACCTAAATCATGACAGAAGCCATTAATGCCTAGCCCTAGATGTCCATGACACTGTCATGTATCCTTTAATCTTCAGTATCTATTATGTCCTAGACTTTGGGGCAGCATCAGAGTAAACAGATGTGATTTACTGAGTGAATGTTGAATTTGGCCCTGCAGGCTTGGCTAATGATATCCACATTAATAACAGATATTAAGCCCACATATACACTCCAAACATGAAATTATTGTGATATACAATTTCAACTATTGCCCAGTACCTCGTTGATGGCGTTTAGTTAACGTAAGCTTAAAATCTGTGGCGGTGTAAGTGCAAGACTGCGTCGCATACCGGCAAAAAGAAAACAACTTACTCTGAATATCCTTTCCACTTGAGGAAGAACTCGACCCTGCCTTTCACCACTCTCCTGTCCAGCACCTTCTCCACAACATACTCTTCCTCATCAGATGATGAGGAGTCTTCTTCGCGAGACTTTTTGCCCATAGCAAAGTTTGTTGGCGAACACTACGCTGTCGCAGGCCAATGGCACTTTCCTGTACAAGGAAAACGATGGAGAAGCTAAGGTTAAAGAGAATATGGATGATATGTTCCAGACGACACACAGACGAAGCAAGCTCTAGCTAGCTAACGTTACATCGGCTCCTGTCGTATATCAACGAACATCATTTTCATTGTCGTTCCTCCAATCTGCAACAGGCACGACAAAACTGATAAACATGCTAAACCAACAGGCTGGATAAATACATCTCCGTGGTTGTCCACTCGCTCAAATGAGATAACGTCAGAAAACGTTAATACGTGCACATAGACATGAAGAACTGAGGTTGTTTGCTAAGCAACTACCAAACCAATGGGCAAACTTGCTTAAGCAGGTACCGTTAGCCTGCAAGCTAACGCCTCAGCGGCTACTAGCTACCAGCTAACAGTGACACAGAATCCAAATTGTTGAACGATAACATGCAGCAGCGTGGAGCATTTCGCATTGTGTTGCCAATTGCCTACCCTTTGGACGCGTAGATCGTCGGTCAGACCGGTTAACTTCGTCGATAACGAGTGTCTTTTGTGGACCTGCGGTGTTTTGAGGCTAACGCTGGAGCTACTTTAGCATATAGCCTGGATCACATAAAGGTGCTGTGCGCTTGCCTGTGCGTAAAAAGCGCGCGGTAAAGACGCACAATGAAGGTACCCGCCCCTAGGTCAGCTGATGACCCACTTCTATGCCGAGCGTTAATGCTCCTACGACGAGTATAATTTCATTCTTACATAGTTTGGAACGTGTTTATTGTAATATAAATGTGTGTGTCATATCAACTTAACGTAAGACACACACGTAGTTAGTAGTGAAAGGTGTGTTGACGTTGTTTTATCGAGAAAGTCAAACATCTGAATAATTTAAGATTTGATGATTTTGGGGGCTTTTGCTGTGTACATTCTTATTGCGTCACATACAACACTCGATACCTCACACATTTGTCTTCCGATCCCTTAAGGCTTCAAACAACATCCATCTTACATCGTCGTGGTTGTGAAATGCACCGCCTACCGCCACGTCACTGGTGGTTGGTAGTGATTGATTGAATTTGGACCAATCCAGATTCAACCGGTGCAGACGACAGACTGCAGCGGGAACAACTGGGCCAATTGCTGTGCGAAAGAGGTGTTTCCTTTGCTATTAATTATACTGTTGGGATCCAGGCTAGGCTCGTCTGACGCAGATCGCTTTTCTCCGGTCAGTCCACAAGGAGTCTTCAAGGATTCGCCCGCAAACATGTCGAAAGATGTGAGTATCGCATTTGGAATCCGGTTTAGGCAATTACGCTGCACACTGTGCGCCTAAGAAATGCGTTAATTTGAAGCCATTGCGAATAGGCGAGGCGTTGTATTGTGTTGTATATCAAGCCTGGGAAATCCGCCATTTTACAGCAGCTGGGCCTCGTGGCCCTTTTGTTCTTGCTCTCCAGCTACGTACGAAATTCAGGCGCTTCACTCCATGCTTGTCTTAAGTAATACTATTCTAAATGCATTACATTTAACACGCATGCATTAAGTGTTTGTGTCTAACTGTTGCTAAAAGCGCTACTTATCACCAGGCCGCCCCGCTGACGGTAATGGCGGCAACGTCCCGATTTTTTTGATATGTGACGCAAGACTGGCTTCATAAACGATTAGGCCTCACGTTACCGCGTAGTTCGTTCTGAAGCGGTTCATTGTTAAATGTAGTCGTGCACGACTTGGCACGCGGCGCTCCGGCCAGTGCTGGTGATTGTACTCTAATGTTACTGTCCATTGTGCATCGCCAGGTCCCACGTGAACCGGAGCAACTCCGCAAGCTGTTCATCGGAGGTCTGAGCTTCGAGACCACAGACGAAAGCCTGCGGGCTCATTTTGAGCAATGGGGGAGCCTTACAGACTGTGTGGTAAGTGGGTTTCACAATCGCCCTGTGACACGGTTACACATTATGGCACGCTAGTGGGGAACACTGGGAATAACTGAATCCTCTTCCTTCAGGTCATGAGGGATCCCAACACAAAGAGATCAAGGGGCTTTGGCTTTGTGACGTACTCATCTGTGGATGAAGTTGATGCTGCCATGTCTGCCCGCCCCCATAAGGTTGATGGAAGAGTGGTTGAACCCAAACGAGCAGTTTCCAGAGAGGTATGTTGGATTTGATATTTTTGACACGACCCATATTGAGTATGTGTTTGTAAAGGAAAGGCATGTATAGTAACAAATATCTTTGCTCACAGGACTCAAACCGGCCAGGTGCCCACGTGACCGTGAAAAAGATCTTTGTCGGGGGCATCAAGGAAGATACCGAGGAGTCACACTTGCGAGATTACTTCTCACAATTTGGCAAAATCGAGGTCATTGATATCATGACCGACCGTAACACTGGAAAGAAGAGGGGCTTTGCCTTCGTGACCTTTGATGATCACGATTCAGTCGACAGGATTGTCAGTAAGTACAAATGCTCTCTGTTCTCCTGCAGGTTGACCTTCCTGTCTCGACTGGCTACTAACCGTCTCTTCGTCCCACAGTCCAGAAATACCACACAATCAACTCTCACAACTGTGAGGTGAGGAAGGCTCTTACAAGGCAGGAGATGCAGACTACAGGAATGGGTACGAGCGGTTAACTCTTTTATGCAATATTCTCTGGAGTGGTTTTTAAAACCCTGGCAGTTTGACACTATTCCAGAAGTAATGATTGTTATGTTTTAGGCCGCAGCAGCGGCGGAAGGCCCTACGAATATGACCGAGGCTTCAATCAGGGTAAGAATTCTTTCATGATGGGGCCACATAATATTCCATATATATGCATGTGTCTGAAGCCTAACTTTGGTATTTACCTCTTTCAGGAGGCAGGGGTAGATATGGAGACGGTCCTTACAATTGCAATGGAGGTGATGGTGGTAATGGAGGCGGAGGCAGTGGTGGTGGTAAGTAGGCAATTTTGAGTTTCTCACACTTCCCCCTGACAATTTTGTCAATCTTGTCTGCGTGGGTTGAATTATTTCAACAGTTGCTGCATGGCAAAGCACTAAAATAATATTTGTGTTGTAGGCTATGGAGGAGGTCCCGGCGGTCCGGGGGGATATAACAATGGTGGCAACCGAGGATATAACCAAGGTTACAACCAGGGTGGTGGTGGAGGTGGTGGCGGTGGAGGAGGTGGCAGCGGCGGCTATGGAGGAAATGGCTATGACAGCAACGGCTATGGTAAGTGCTTTAGCTCCCCGCAACGAACGTTTCTGTGTTCAAGATGTGATTTACTTAAGTTGTTGGTCTGCTTGCAAATTCTCACAGGTAACTGTGGTGGTGGTGGAGGAGGAGGGAGCAGCGGTGGTGGCGGAAATAACTACAACAACATGGGCCACTACGACCCCCAGGCCTCCAACTTTGGCCCAATGAAGAACAACTTTGGCGGCGGTGGTGGTGGCAGCGGAGTTGGCAGGAACTTCGGTAAGATTGAGGAAGGGCAATGCAAGGATGCTTACCATTTAGCATAGTTTCTGTAAGCTAAGTTTTCCTTTGTTCCCAGGTGGTGGCAGTGGCAGCAGCAGCGGCGGTGGTGGCGGCGGCGGCTATGGAGGGGGCTCAAACAATGGTGGTGGATATGGCCGTTCAGGACGCTTTTGAAATGTGAAGTGGTAAGTGTTCACTGGCACGTCTGACCTTTTTAATCTTTTCATAAAACCAGAGTTTGTAGTTGCAGGGACTCGTTAAGTGTAGATAACACATTTTTTCAAATCACTCTGGATGTCAGGTCATATGAAGTCAGTGCACACAGTTAACAATGTTGTTCCGTATTGTTCAACAGGACTGAGTACTTAGGAGAGGAGAGCAAGGAGAGGAGAGCAAGCGAATTGACAGGGCAGCTGCAGGTTTACCTCCTAAATCTGCTCAGCCAAACAGTTGTGGCAGGTTACAGCTGCTGCAAGAAGAGATGTACAGTAGATAAATCATGGAGGGTCTTCATTTAAACGTTTTGTGTTTTTTCATCGAATGTGTTTTTTGGGAAAGCAAGCATTCCAATGAGGTTTTATGTAGATTGTTTTTCTTTAAAGTCTGGTTTTTATTTGTAACTGCATCCAAGCTGAAATAAACGATCTTTCAGTTTTTTTACAAAGTGTTGTTAGCCTCTTGAGTGGTTTGGGAAAGGGAGGGTTCACTATCAGGTGCTGCACATTGTGGGATGAGGGACATATTTCACATAATGCAAGCAGCCAAAGAATCCATGTGATGTGTGAGAAGCCCTGCGCTAGTCACCATATACATCATGAGTAAGTGCATTTACAATGCTGGTTGAGGAATGAGAAGTGGTGCACAAATACTTCCACCATAAAGAGCCCACCACTTGGTACAGACTACCCTGAGTTCTGCAAAGATCAACTGGAGGATGCTAGCTTACATGCAAAGTCTTTGAGGCTAGTCATGGAAGCCAGCTGAGGGAGAGAAGTAGCAAAACCGTCGCCAGGATCATTGAAGCAGGGGAGAGTGAGAACAGAAGCCTGAGGCTAGCAGGCAGCAGCTTCCAAAAGGCTTAAGTGCTTTCTGTAGGTAAGACCAGACTTCTCAACTACTGATAGTATGTCTTGCTTTTTCATGTAGCTGGTAGTAAGTTGTGTAGCCCAGTAATGACATGACATATTTGTGCAAACAAGTTTTATTATGACTTACACCGATGTTCACTGGTAAAATTGGCCTCCTAACTGTGCATAGAGGCCCTACAACATATTGCATGCTGTGAACAAAAATGATGTTTTTGTGAAAGAAGCACTTTACTTAATTTGTGTTTCTGCTTTTCAGGAAACTCCCTGGTCTTCAAAACCTGACTTCATTTCAGTGACAATGGCTAAATCAGGTACATTCATTAAAACCTTCACTTTTTTTTCTTTTCAGTTTTCCTTTTATTTGACTTTTTTTCTTGTCTTTACAGGTTTCCTGAACAATCATACTGGTGCTTCTTTATCTTAACACTGCTGTGCAGTGTCCTATTTATATATATTTTTTTTTAATAAAGTGATTTTTATAAGTAACTGGTGTGGTTTCAGTCAATTGTACGATGGGTAAAGGTGTCCAATGAGATGTGTATGGCAAGTTTGACATAAGGGTCATAACATTAAATAACTTTCAGTCAACATACTATCGATTGGCACAATCCGGCAGTATGCCTCATTCTGTAGGGGAGTGAAATCATGAGACGATCCATTAATCAGCATTGCTCTCTCTTTTGCATAGTTGCGTGAGGTACCAAATAAACTTTACCATCAGGTGTTTGTTGCAGGGCATATTCATCAATTGAGTATGGTTGTCCATCCTCATCTCTCAAGTGAGAAAATACTTCTGAATAAAGGTCTGTAAGGCGACATTTAATAAAAGCCAAGCTGTGCTGGAACTCGACTCTTTCCTGTGCCAGGTGCTCTCTTTTGGCATGCAGCTGGTTCAGCTCTCTTTCGAGGTGAAATATGCTCTCAAGCTTCCTTTTCCTGCAGTTCTGAGCTGCCACCTTGTTCTTCCCTCTCCGTCTAATGTCCCTGACCAGTGCTAGTTGAGTCTCTGTCAGAGTATACTGTGTCAGGAGCTCATTGAAGTCATCCACAGGTAGATTGATCATCTTCTCCATTGGGAAGGGGATCTTCAAAGACACGGCCCGCCGCTCATCTCTGCTTAGTAGACCTGGAGTGGAGCTACTTCCTTGTGGTTTTGCATACATGTTGTATTGTGAGCTCCCTCTGCTGGGCGCTCCAGAGTCAATATGCAGGTTGCCCAGAGCAGAGGTCTGACCCTGCTGTTTCACTGACCGAGTCAGAGCGTTGGGTTGAGTATGAGATAAAGTCGGTTGTGTTGAAAAATAAGATGGCTGTGCACCCGAGTGTGAATATGAGTGAGACTGACTCTGGTAGTCCATTGAGTAATGGATGTGGGCTCTTCTGGCGTGTTCAGCCAAGTTGTCTGGTTCTCCATCACTATAAGTCATGCCGATGTCTACACTCTGGTAACCTGGTGCACCGCCAACAGGATTGTCTGGGGAGGCCAAAGGTGGACTAGAACCCAGGGACAGACCAGAGTCCGACTCTAGATCATCACCTGGGCGAGCGTGTGAAATTTGTCCGTGTGTAGTCCACAGCATGTGCCGACGTAGATCCTGAGCGAGACAAGCGTTGGCCCTCCTGTGCCCTTGGCTGGTACCGGACATGTTCATTTGTTCCCTAAGAGCCATGTGTGAGGGCTGTGTGTGAGAAGACATGGGGAGCATTCTTTGATTGTGCTGAGCATCAGGGTGTCCGTACATTGCCTCTGCGTTGCTGCTTGGACGATGACAGACGGGCACCTCTTCAGAGTAACATCCATCGTAAGTGGCACCAGTGCTGAGCTCACAGGCAGCAGGAGGAGTCTCGGAATGGGACTGAGCCATCTCATATCCTCCCATCGGGACCATGGGCTCCATGTTTTGGTACTGTGCTGTTTCATAGGAGCCTGCACTGGAGTCTTCAAACTCCTGCAACAAAAACAAAATGCGGCATGACCGGTACATCAGTGTACATGTCTCACTAATGTCAATAAAAAGATTGACGGCAATAATCAAATTTGCAAGAACTCTGAATTAATTAGTGGAACTGTGTATTTTTCACATTTCATCTGGCTCACTAACGCAGTTTGCCCCACTTCAGCATGCCACCCATAGCCTATGAAGGGCTCTCATAGATGTGATCAGGTTTCACCTGGAAACAGATGGCTATTGTGCGGTACAGGGGGCCGCTAGCAACATGCAGCACTTGCCCCCTCTCACAATCTCTTCATCCTGCCATCATTCAAATGGGCCATTGTTGCCTTCCTCAGCTAAGTATTAGTTTTTCAACAGTTAGCAACACGTGAAAAGAGGAAGTATTTATTCCACTAGAATGAAACATGTTGGATTTAGTAACTTGTTTAATACAAAAATAAACTGCCTCTCCATGATAACGCAGCATGAGATATTGTGATAACATTGGCATTTTTTCGGGAATAGACAAAATATATAGTAGCATTTTGCCATAAATAAAAATGGATGTTTACAGTGTGTCAGTGCTGAAGAGTTACCTGCAGCTCTGTGATTGCCATCAGCTCCTGCCAAGCCACGTCTATCTCTGCGTCCTGAGGAGCTCCATGAGACCTGGCTCCAGGGTAAGGATTTGACATGGACACTCCCCCACACAGCCTTCCTGGAGTGGCTAATACCTTGTGTAAGAAAAGACAAATTCTAACCTCATTCATAAATCTATTTTAATCCAGATTATTTTGTGGGAGTTTCTGTCTTCCCAGCTCATAGACAAACCTACCTCACAGGTTCTCCTCGGAGGGAGAACATAGTTGGCCGTGGAACACATTCAGGATAAGCTTTTGTTGCAAAAGATCAACCTGGCAAAGACACACAAACCAGTTATTATTACCTACCCAGCGTCTAAACTTCACACCAGAAAGAAAAAACAAAAATGTATCTGCGAGCCATTAAGTCACGCCATACGTTCAAACACACTTTACTAATACATACAGCACATTACATAGGAGTAGACCCGCTGCTGCTAAATAAATGACTGGGTGTTCTGTAGGTTCTTTTGGAGCACATGAAGGGTTCAGTTCAGTTGATTTAACTCCTCCCAACAGCTGTCCCGGTGCAGCTATGCTGACCCCTGATAACACAATCTGCGGGAAAACAGCGCTCTCTTTAAGACACACTGGGGCCTGATGGCTGCACTTTGGAAAATTTGGTGTATGGCTTGCATGTTGGCAGTAATCTTTAAACTCTGTCAGTAGCCTAGTAGTAGTTTAAAGTGTTAGCATCTCCATATTGATTTTCAGAATTTTGGAAATATTCCACTTGAGTTAAAAACACAATGAGATTTTAACACACACACGCACAGTTTTCAACACACAACTGAAACAGCTGCCTAAACACCAACAGAGAAGCGGACACTGAATCACTTTAGAATTTATGCACTTTAAAATATACAATACACACACATTTAGTTGTATCTATTTTGTTGCTTTTTATCCTGAATCTGCTTGTTTATATGAAATTAATTACATTTCAAAGAGAAACCAAGGATGGGGCTGCAAATTAGCTTCAGATATGTACCTGTTGCATTGCTTTCCCGATTTTGAGTTGAGCCAATAAATATGTTTGAACAAACAGGAGTCTTCTCTTCAATAAATGGGATCTCCCCAGGTGGCAGCCTTAAGCTTCTCCACTGACAATAATGCAGTAACTGCTTTGTGGTTATGACACAGTCGAAGGTACCTTTGAAGATAGAATTATCTAAAATTCAAAAGCTGATTAAAAATGAGCAGTCAAAGTCAGGCTAATTGGAGTGGAATATCAAACAACAGGCTGTCACACTGAGGTGTCACAGATTACAGACCTGGTTCAATGAGTTAAACTATTGTAAAATGGGGAATATTTCTGTCTAAGACGTATTTTACAAGTAATTAATTCTACTTGGTAATGGTGGAATACACAAACATGTGTTTTATCTTTTTTAATCTAAGATTTTAAATACACGTTTAATTTCCTCTTGACCTTCAAAACAAACTGTGCATACAATTTGTAATATTGCGTATTATTTCAATAGCATCCGCCTGTAAGGCTATTTGCTATCATCTGTCGCGTGTGAATTATTTTGTAGTTTTTAAAGGTTCTGAAAAACATAACTATTATATCCTGCGTTGTGTTTGTGGTAAGTTTCTTAAGGCCGTTTCCTTTACTGTAAGGAATCATAATCACCACTCAAATTTCACTGGTCCAGTCAGTTAAAAAGAAGTTGCTAAAATCAAGTCAAATTAAGTCAGCAGGATAAAACTTCGAATGAAATGTTTCTTTGTGTTATTACTTCAACTCTATTATTTACACCTTCAATGCTTGGAAGCATTAGAAACAATGTAATTACATCGTTCAATAGCTCACTTTGTTATATGATTATGTGTAATATCACATCACTAAAGTGATACATCTACTTAAATATACCGCTATAAAGATTTAATTTAAGTGGGAACATTGTAATCTCTCAGTATGCAGTAGCTTTGCAACAGAAAATATCTGACAAATCAGAAGAAGGATGATGTGAATGAACATACCTGGCCAACATTCTCTGCTTCTTCACCAGGTGATGAGGTAAAAAAAAAAAGATGTGAAGCACAATCCTGGTGGTAAGAAAATGAAAAAATGAACAAAAGGACAATCTGTTCTTTTTTACAGATGATGGGGTGTTGCTGACTTCTAAAGTAAAACAAATAAGGCCTTCTGCTCTTTCTCTTCTTCAACTGTCTGTCTGTCTGTCTGTCTCTCTCTCTCTCTCTCTGTTCAGCTACTCATACAGCCGCCGGCATAAATGGGATGGCTCTGTGCAGACAAACGCAATCTTCCTGTAAAGCACCCACACCACATTTTTTTTGTACTCTTGTATTTAATAGCACCCTTGCACCCCAACCTCCAAATTTCCCTTTTGCCCACATGACAAACCACAAACCAACAGTCTGACAATCATTGTCTGTCGACACTGAGGTAGGCAGACGTTTACAAAAAACAATAAAAAAACTGTATGCAATTTTGATTTAAATTATATAATGACTATACATATTAAACAGTCAGATTAAAAAAAAACTGAAAGTGATTAAAAAGTAGCCGGATGGTTGTCTCTGTCCAGGCCAAACCGTACAAGAACTGTGTCCTTTCAAATCCTCCAAAACGAAAGGTATGAGGAGTGTGATGTGGAGCACCTGGAGCTGGCATTGCAGTGAGGGCCCTGTTCAAGCAGGAGTGGGTTGGAGGCAGGATTGAGACTTAGTTTAGCAGAGATGGAATGTACACCCTCCGACAGGTAAGAAAGACTACATTGTTCCTCTATCTGGCAGAGCAACCGCCAAGGGAGAGAGAGGAGCAGGGGCAGAATGGAGGGGAGCGTGTCTTACATAGCAAGTGACCATTAAAATCCCTCACGAAAAAATCCCCTCATTGCCCAGATCTGAAGCACTGTGAGCAGTGACCTCACAAAGACTATGTGTTATGTACTCTATTGTGCAACAGCTTTCACACAATTACTGACAGTAGAGATGTTACATAGTTATTGCTCCATATAGAGCAATTTTTCTTTATGCACAGTGATACATAGCAGCCTGTCTCACAGCGACAATGAGGATTTTTTTCACATAAAATATTCAAGACATTCCATGCTTTGTAAAATACCCCCTGCTGTGTGTAATGCGTACAACATAGTGGATAGATTTCATTTTTAAAAAGCATTTGTTGATTAAATCACCTGACATACTGAAATATGCGTCCTATAATTCTGCCTGACTGCGTGACAACAACATATGCTACAGCCTTGCATAGTATATGTTTTGTCTTTGTAAAACAAGCGGATGCAAATGCATGTTTGTAGAATTACTTGCATATACTAGGGATCCCCGGTCCGTAAAACAACTGCAGTGTGCAGCAAATGCAAGCAGTTTATGTTAATAAGCATCGGACTGCATATCATTTCTTTTGCTCAGAAATACAAAGCTGAAAACATGTCGCAATCACTTTCTTCCTTGAATAGCAGTTAGTGAATAACTTTTTTACACTGCTAAACGGAAAACAAAATAACTTAAGAGTCTAAACAAATCTCCAATAACCATACATATACAATATTTTCAATCAATTATTTGTACAAAATAGTTAAGATTGAAAGGGTTCACCCTCTTTATTAATAACACAGGTGATATGTTTAAATGTATTAAATAATAATACAGGGAAAATGTACAGGGGGTTGAATAGTTTTTATCGTGGGTTCATAAAAACACTCATGATCTTTGTGATTCACAGAAGCATTGTTGACATTAAAAAGATAAAGCTGATCTTAAGGTCTTTGTAGACACTTACAGTAGTAATTCAAGTAAACTTTGGGATTTGTGTTATACAGGAACACAAAGAGTGTGGGGACAAATACATAATGTTTGCTCTGAATACTGACCTGAAACTTGACTTTTTTTATTGTTGAATAAATGTACCTTTTAGAGCTTGTGATAACAAAAATGGAGTTTCAGTAAGGCACTATATATTCCAAAACCATGAGAACATGGAGGGTTTTGTCTGACCCGATACAATATCACATCCCACAAAGACATAAATCTCCATGTTTTCTTTGTCATTGTTCTAAGATGGAAAAAGTAGGTGGCTGACGGAGTCAAGAAAGGTGAACGTCTACCAGGAATCAAAGAAGGGACTTCCCAACCCAAGTTCCTAGCACCCAGCCCCTGCCTCAACCACTGCCACAGCATGCCAAAGAGCACCCTGTTATTACTGCGACCACAATGGTTTAGAATCTGGACACAGTTCCCAGATCTACGCCTACTTTCCCTGTTTGTGTTTGTTTGCTCCAATTAGTCTTTAACATCTCTGCTTTCCAGCTTGCGTGAACCTCTCAGGGCTGTCAGCCTTTTCTTTGCTGTGCACCTCGATGCTATGAACAACTCTACGTCAAAAATAGACCGGACATGTTGGCTGGGAACTGCCCACAGTTGACTCACTTAGCTCTTAATGACCACTGAGTTTTATACTTGGGTGTGTTAAATTAAATGAGAGAATAAGGGTTAAATATGTTTGTCCCTTTGGTTGTTCCCCACCTCCGCTATGTGTCCTGGTGGTAGCATCTTATTTGTTCATTAAAGATGAAGAAATGTGGCATCTTTGGTTTTGTTTTAACATTCAAAAGGCTGTAATAGACATAAACTGGAAAACCACCTCACTACTAAACAAAATGAATGTGTGCCTTGGGTTGTGGTATCAAAGAGGGAATATTTTTGGAGTCAGCTTCTGGGAAAGGAAAAAAAAGAGGGCAGATGGAGTATTATTTCTTTATTTACTGAAGTGTAAAAAATAGTTACACTATACTTTTTTATGTTGTTAATATTCGGCTTCAATAAAAACAACACTGAAAATAATAAAAGACATAAAAATGGTCATATGTGCAATTGTTTATCGTGGTAGTCAACTGGAAAGGGTTTTTCACTTCGGTCCACCTACAATATGTAGATGCTAATACCCAATTTCACATGCTTTCCTAATTCTATTGTGGACAATATTGAGATGTTTATTTTAATTTGTACATTTCTGATCTTTTTCAAATGAGCAGGATGCAAAATGATTTACTGGACACATTCATAAGAGCAACTGTAGATGTTGATGGGAATCAGAGATAACTCTTCCATTGTTGTTTCTCAAAACGTCTGTCATGATAGTTATCGCCACCTGAAACCAAATGAGGAACCTGAAGATGCCACATCATTCTTCTGAATGTCTCAATAAGATGTGCGCTTATCTCAAGATGTTAAGATTAAGATAATATTTTGTAACAACAGTACTTAATTATTTTATGATTATTTGTATCCTTACGTTTTTTATTAAACCATTTCCATATTATATTACTGGTGTTGGAAAAGAAAATTAGAATAAGAAAATTAAAATTGTTTGTGTGTATAGGTCATTGCACGCGGTAAGGCAATGTGTTCAATGAACGTCAAGTCTGGTGGGCAATACAGACACAAAGAGGGAAGGTAAGGAAAGGAGGATGTTGGTTGGCGGAAGCTCTGCTTAATGCTGATAAAAGTAGCACTTGGTTCTTCGGAAGGGAACTGCTAACTGCTGTGGTTGCTGGCATAGAGCTGAGAAGAGGGGAGCAGCACATTACTTCATTTCTCTGTCTATTGTTGTTATTCATTTCTACTTTTTAATCTTCGTGAGCATTTGACAGATCCAGTAATAGATGGTTAATATTTGCTGAACTTTAAGCTGCATTATTAGTCACTTGAACAGTTTCCTCACCTCATGCTTTGAAGATGTATGCTTCATTCATGCTTTAGTCTTCAAGGTCTTTTAACTATGAAGTGCACTCAACCTATTTAAAAGAAAGTTAGGGAAATTCCATTTTCAAGCCAGCACCATGAGAAGTAGACCAGTCATTTTGCATGTTAATTTATCAAAAATGTTGATTCATCATTCAACTTTCATTCATCACCATCACCAACTCTCCCAGCATAATCGTAACAGGGATGATTTTCAAACACATATAGGTATGAATGTGTATGATGTTATTACAATGGCATCTAAGAATCTTTTAATCTATAGTCTAAGTGTAAGCAAGTTCAAGGCAGCATACTGTTTCCTCTCTGGTCGGGTAAGTTTTGAAATCTTAGTGGCTGAATTGTGTAAACATAGTGCAGTATTGCAACATTTCATGGTTGTCCGCAGTGGTGGGGTTATGAATGCATCTCAGCATAGTTTGTAGCTTTTCACCATACACTGTTTGCAGTTAAATAATAGCTCTGCACCACTTGCTTTCAAAACTGTAGGCCTTCAAATTCCCGTATTATTTCAAACTCAAGTCCAAGAATATCTTACAGTAAGGCAGAACAGTGATGTAATTCATGGAGTGAGATACAGGGAAATCCCCATCAGCCTGTGTTTCCAGATGCTTCCCAGAAGTGGTAACGAAGATAATTGGGGTTGGTTAAATGTAGGAGGATCCTGAAAAAAAGATGTCGATGAGTACAAGCAAGCTAGCAAGGCTTGTAATTGAGAGGATTGTTTTTTGTTGTTACCATGCAGCCCTATGAAAAAGTATTCAGTCAATAATGATAATGATTTGGTTTAACTACAGTGCCCATGGTAGAGGTTTAAACTCTGACATTAACCTAAATTGCCTACTGTAGTTCATTAGAATATGTAGAAAATAGTTTATATAGGCACCATTGCTGGGGATCTACATCTGGGAATTACAGAACCTTTGTTTTACTTTCACGATAGAAAGAACTGGGTTAGGGGCATAGCTGTAATGTTAACGTACAGTAGGCTAGCAGAAGACATAAAAAACACAGATAGTGGAGTACAACACACAATGTTTGACTTTACTTGCGAGACATGACATTATCAAGTTGCAACTTTCCCCACTGAAGGGACACATGTGTTACAGATGCTCGTGAGTCTGAATGGCATACATGTATTTTATTTCCTGTCTCCGCGCTGTGTAGTAGCTCTTTGACCTAGTCCGCAGTACGCATGGCTCTGTATCAGCCAATGGGAAAGAGCCTTATTTACTGTACGCATGACGTGTCCGCTGCGCAGCCGCAGTGTGCTAGCTAGTTTGCGAACAAGAAAGAAGATGGATTCTCCAATACTGGTAATGTTAGCGCATGAATTCATATGCCTCAGTATATGTGTCATTCAGGCTTTTAATTATAACTTCTTTGCATTAACATATGTGGTTGTTTCTCGAAACCTCATAATCTAGTTGTGGAATTAACTCGAGAGGGAGCTAACTAAAGTAAACGGTTGTTGGCTAACCAGCTAACTTGGCCTCAGAGACGTTAGCTTCGTGTGTAACGTGTGTTTGTTGGTGATGTGGAAGTGTCATGTCTCATGTAATGGCGAACGAGCAGTCATTATTACTATTTGTATTATATTGGTGACTCTGATCGGATTGTGTTTTCATTCATCCCTTGTTAGCGCATCCACCGCCGTCCTGCCAAAGTTTGATGTTATGTGTTAGCAGTTAATGTTTCGATTGTTGACTTCTCGATACGTTTGTTAAATGATACTCGTGTACATTGAGTCGGTGCTTAACGTCTTCTATCTCAACAGGAACCATCCTTGTACACTGTCAAAGCTGTTCTGATTCTGGACAACGATGGAGACAGGCTGTATGCCAAGGTACGATTGAGACAACTGTACAACGACGTTACCATTAATAGTTAAACATTTCTTAACAGACCGTCCTGGTCCAGGGTCCGCCTGGTGATACTTTATATTTTTTCTTATCAACAAATCACACACTACAACCAGCCCTGGTTTACATTACCATAGTACCCTTTGCACTATCCTCATTCCCACTAAACCAAAATAAAGTAACTATATATATTGCTTTATTTTATTGTGTTCTATGCTCTTTTAAATATTTGTATATACAGTATGTTTTATGTGTGTGTAGGGGCCTAAATACACACACAAAAAACTTTTTTTTATGTAAAATTGGGCTTATTTTTTGGTTAAAAAGTATGACCATTTAATTGAATTGTAACCATGTGGTGAATTCAGCAGCGAGCTCTTCCGTCGCATGTAGATAATTTGCCGACATCCCATTAAATAGGAACTCAGAACAATTACAATCCTCTGCATGTGCTGTGCATGTTCCCATCACACTTTTGATTAACTTATTTCCATTCATTCGTGGATGTAAAACAATTTAATGTCCGCACAAAATGTCAAAGTACCCCATTAGTTAACTTACTAGCTCGCTGACTCACCACTTGGCATCTTTCTCTTGTATGTATTGAACAAATTAATGGATTTATTTGAATATTCCCATAACTCTGATGCCAGAACTTAATGTAGCTCATTCCTCTGTGCCATTGACCTCAGTTTTTACTTCAAAATTACTTTACACACACAAAGATCCACACTGTGGTGATATGTTCTTTAATTACCTTGAGCATGTCGCGGGCACTGCAGTTTGTTTTCAGTCAACACCCCATTCACCGTCCTGACGCTGTAAATACTGACACATGCAGCAACAGCGCTCGTTGATTTAGACTTTTTTTACTTTTTTTGTTTGGTATAGATTTATTTGTACAGTGTCACAGACCGATGGGGGAAGTTGGAAAGTATTTAGAGATTGACTAATGCGCTATTGATTTTGGTCTTTTTATTGGATTTGTTGACAATAAGAAAAATATTAAATATTGCCAGCCTTATTCTATTAATCAAAATTCAAACAACTTAAATTGGGTTATAGGTTTACATGGCAACCTATAATAACGTCTTCACTTTAAATTCATCTACAGTATTATGATGATACGTACCCAACGGCGAAAGAGCAGAAGGCGTTTGAGAAGAACATATTCAACAAAACACACAGGACGGACAGTAAGATATCTTTCCTACATTAAAGATTAAAGACACTTTCCTGCCTCAGTGCGTCTCGTAACACGCTTTGGTTGCTTTCTGTGTGTCCGTAGGTGAGATAGCTTTACTCGAAGGCCTCACTGTCGTCTACAAGAGCAACATAGACCTCTTCTTTTATGTGATTGGAAGTTCCCATGAAAATGAGGTAAGCCTAATTCTAGGATTTAAATTTAGTAATTTCATTTATTTTAACTTGGTGTTAAAATTGATTGTGTTGTGATGATTCATTTGCACCTATTTAAAATTGATACATGGTACTTCTACGTGTTGTTTATTTATTTTTTGTTTTCTCCAATTCAGCATGAGATTAATTTATGTAGACAATAGATACATGTTCGTATCATAAATAAATAATCATACAGATTATTTTCATGATAATATTCTCAACAGCATAATTCAATTGATGAGAGATGTTTTCACTTAACTGGCGGATGTGTTGTCTTTCGTGCTATTTAACAGTGTTTCCTCAAGGCTCAGAATTTTGGGGATTATTTGGGAAACCAATACTGTGGTATACAGTACATGTTGCTATAGAAGCTAAATGACAATGTGTGTCAATGTGAACTCATCTGTCTATATTTGGGTTCTAAAGAGATATTTCTTCTATGTTTTACAAATAATAAAATGAACTTCATCCATTATGAAATCGGGTGTTATTTATACTCTCGATGTGTTCTTTATTTATAACTACAACAGTTGAGTCTGCACAGACGGATACAAGTTCGTTTTAGCTAGAACACGATGTGCCTCGAGGTCCAAGGAAATATTGTAAAAACCATAACAAGTGATTCCACACATGTTATTTCCTGAATGATTTCCTCCAGATGATAGAACAACGATGTAGGCTCATTAGACACGAACACAATCTAATATATTCTTTTATCCTCTCCAGCTAATGCTGATGGCTGTTCTAAACTGCCTTTTTGATTCGCTCAGTCAGATGTTGAGGTAGGTTTTGACAGCTGCTATTTTTCTGCAAAACTTCAACAAAACTTTTTTTTGTGCAAATATTTTTCTGATGTCTAGAAAGTTAAGCTTGACGTGTATGTTGTTGTTTTACTCTGTAGAAAGAATGTAGAGAGAAGGGCTTTGTTGGAGAACATGGAGGGGCTCTTCCTGGCTGTGGATGAAATTGTGGATGGAGGGTAAGCAGCTTGAAACTTGTTTAATTAAAAAAGAGCCTGATGTTAGTACAGCATGTTTTTCTCTTGGATTAATAATTGTTGGTCTGTCTCTTTGCTGCCTGCTGCAGGGTGATCCTGGAGAGTGACCCACAACAAGTTGTGCACCGTGTGGCTCTCCGAGTAAGCTCCTCTCCTCCCCTTTCAGAAATATTCCACAGTTTGATGTTGGTTATGTCCGATATTAACGTAACATGATTGTTCCTGTAGGGGGATGATGTTCCTTTGACAGAGCAGACAGTCACCCAGGTGAGGAAAACAATCCTTGCATCTCTCCCTGCTATAAAGTTTTAAAGCTCCATTAGTTTATTGACTGTTGAAGCTCATTAATTCAGAACCTATGACTACAAGGGCATTGTTATAGCGTCATTCTCCTCTACTTCATCACGCAAGTCTAAGCTGTCATATCCGCAGGGGCGGAACAAAACACAACCATAATTTTTCCTAATTTTGACATGACATGTCCTCTTCATGATGGATGGTCATCAATCAAAAATATTTTATGAAGAAAAACACAGCAAAAAGTGATCAAATTGATCACCATATTGCAGCTGCCCAAAGTGCAGAATAAAACCACTCTGCAGACCTACTTTATATCGTGTCATTTTTCACCCATTGCTTGGATTTCAGTAAACTTTTAGATACAAAGCTGCTCTAGAGGCTCGTGCCTGAAAGTAATTCATTCAAGTCACACATGGCACAATAGTGGACAAGACTTTTGACATTTGTTTTTCTAGGCCGTGGTGATCAGAAAGGAAACACAAACATTGTAAACGACAAAGTTTAGAAAACGAAAAAATACACTTTACCTTACAGAAGCCAAATAAAATGCATTTAATTAGATTTTTTTAAAGTAGTCATCCATCTTTACCACAGCCTTTGATACGTTAACATTAATAATGTAATTATTCCTTCTAATTTAGTCACCTCTCCACTTCATACATGCTGTCTTTGCTCCTTGCTTATCACCTACTTGGGCAGCTGCTGCTACTGAGCTACAGACATAATATATGACTTCCAAAAAATAGAAACTCTTTCAAGAATGTGTTGCATGACCACAGTGGTGGTCCGATTGTACTCTTTTGAAATAATATGTAACACAATATGTTTTCAAATTTATATTGATTTTCCAACATGATTACACAATAAATATTTGTAACATAACATCTTAACTTACAACCTAATATAGATTATCTGAAAAAATCACTATTTATTTATTATGTCCTCCATGTCCTGTAGTTTGGGTGTGTCCCCCCCCATTGCATTATCTTCTATGAGTAACAGTGTACATAAAAGTTATTCATTGTAAAGGTGTTGGTGTAGCCAACAGTGGTTCCTGTCTTTTAGTTCTTACAGAAGTCGTGTCTGTGTGTGAGCTCCTCTTGATTAATGTTGTCATTTAAGAGGCCTGAGACTGGCTTCCACCATCCCTCATCTAGCCAGGATTAATGGCTGTCCCCAGTCCCCATACTTTATGGTTATGATTCTCCTTTCATTCAGTGAATTAAGATGATTAATTAGATCTTGCATTTACATTACTCGTATACCCTTTTTGATCGTTTTTTTTAACAATAATATGCATGTTTGTTTTTACCATTGTCCCCATAATCCTCCTTAATAAGATGCCACTTGTTTCTCATGTTGTTTTATTTGATAGTTTTTTCCTTAAAGGTTTATCTCCTACTGTAGCCATTCTTATAGCCGGGCTGGCCGGTCATGTCTTCTAGTGCATGTGAGCGCTCCTCTGCTCTCACACAGCCCCCTCCCTCCCGCTGCTGATGTTTTGTCATTTGAGTGATCTGCTTGGTTCAAACCTAGTTTTCATCCACAGGTTCTTCAGTCTGCCAAAGAACAGATCAAGTGGTCGCTTCTCCGGTAAAGTCCCCGCTGCACCAGTCCACCAGAGAGCCGCTGTCGAGCCCAGTCTTAGTGGCACTGATCCGCATACTCCTTTTCCTCTCATTTCCACTCCTTCAATTAAAGCTGTGAGGAGTACCACTGATACTGATCCAGTCACACTCCCAGGATTACTGCTCGAAAAAGTTTAATTTTCCAACCTTTTTCTTTGTTTTTTGCACAGACTTGCATTTGTATGACCTAATCAACATGAGGATAAGATGTGGTGTACATTCCAGTACTGCCTGTTTTGTTAGTTTGTTTTTCCATTAAGGCATCTAGGTGTTCATTAAACCAGTGAGTCACTCTCACACGTAAACCTCATCATAGCCTGTTGCAACATTCCATGTGTATCCTTGAACAATAATTTTATCCCATTTGACAGCACCGTCATCTTACTGTACAAAGTATTGAGGCACTATATGATTTACATGAATATTGTGATTTAAAAAAAAAAAGGTGTACAACTTGTACTGTAGTCATACCAACAATCTCAACGGTGTGTATGTTGTGAATACATGTTGTCCGGGGATCTTCCATTCATCAGATACTTACAATAAATATTTGTTGACACCAATATGTGAACAGCTGCGATATGTCCATTAATTGCCATTCATTTTAGGAATGCGTTATTGACGTGAACTCTATAATTTAGAAGCATTTGTCGTACTTTTTATATCTGTAAATGTAGCAGGTTTTTACGAGTGTTTTTTTCAGAGCTGCCATGCTGTGCGCTCTTTGTTCTTCAAAGATTCTCTGCAAGAGCCAGAGACGCTTGAGCAAGTGCTCCATCTCCTGGCATCTGCAGCAAACTGCCAGGCTGAGGTACATAAATACTGAAGACAAAGAGGGCAGAGTGGGGAGGAGACTCATTCATGCCGCTGTGATCGGGAGCTTACACTGTACTATGTTGCAGTGACATGCGGATAAGTTTTATGGAGTCATACTTGATTAATTTCCGCTCTGTGGAGAGCCACATGAATTGTGTGCTTCGATGTATGCACACCCACCTTCAAACACTAACCCCGTACTCTCATTGTAATGCAAATGAAGGGTACACTACAGAGAGAAATGGATGTGAGAAAGGGCACTACATCATGTTGGTACCAGATGCATATTACAGGAGTAGAAATGATCTATCTGCATTCTTCCAGCCAGGTAGCTCCATATGCTCTCATGATGAACACTTGAAGGTATTTTTCCTGGGAGAGATTTGTGTTGGGTGTGCAAGCAACAGATCCAACCATGCTTAATTTGAACCACATTAGGTCGGTATTACAGATCACGTCTCCTTCCTTCCTTGTCTGTACAATCGGACACCACCATCTACTGCAAGTGGCATGCAGCGACGTGTCTGTCAGGGTCATTTAGGTACCGTTTGTAGCAAGTTTGCCTTGTTTCTTTCTCTATACCTAAATGAGTCACTTGGCCGAGGCATCAAAGTGAGAAGCCGACGGAGTGAAAGCTCTTGATGTCTTTGGCCTGGAGCAGTTTGTGGAAAAGATCACACAGTGTGAATTTTCAGAATGCGGAATGTAAATCGGAGCATTTCACCCGTGTGTCTGCCAGACACAGTTGAATCTTGCGATTATTGCACCACACAAACATTGTAGTGCAGAAAACAGTCCAGGTATTTTGAGGCACAGAAATACTGCAATTTAATCTGTACATTCTGGAGGGTTTGTGGAGCTGTTTTTTAAATTTGTATGAGAAAATGACATTGTAGTTATTCTGGGGCAGATGGCTTACTTGAGTTCAGTTATTCAGTTATTACTGCACATGAAATACCTGACGAACAGCTCTCTGCATGTTGTATATCAATACCAGTTAACTGCTGGCAGACAACAGCTGATACCAAAAAGGCAACAGAATGTGTGTGTTCACGCCTGGATGCATGCATGTGGCTTCATGTTTTCACATAACAGAGGGGAGTGTAGTCAATGAAAGTGTTATTGACTCTGACCTGTGGACCTATTGTCTTGGCTTTGCTTCAGTTTGATTCAGCCCCTGAATCTGTGTCTCTTTATTGCTGCACAGATAGCATGGATGGGGGCCATGTTGATGCTACTTTCAAAGGGTTTTACTGGAGAGAGAGCAGCAAGAAAGGGAATGGTAATCATTCTAAATGGACTCCATTATCACACCCGTTTACTGTTATTGCACTAGTTTGCTGGTATAATGAGGAGCTTCTGTCTCCGTCTGTGGTTACAGTGAGGGAGAGGCAAACATGAAGGTTAAAGAGGACGAGGTTAGCAGAAGCAGACGGCAATAAATGTGATTAGATGAGATCCCAGCGAGGGCCCGGTGGGAAAGGGAGAGGGTTAAAACAGATCCCACCCAAGGTGCCTGTCCAGACCCTCACTTTTCATCTAGATAGCCCAGCAACACCGTCAGGGGCGCAGTGACTTGCTTTCATCCGCTAATTACAGTTGCACCATCATAAAAAAAAACAGCGAGGTAATTTATATTAATTATACAGGCACGAGTATAACCGTTTGAAACGCCATGGCTTGACATGCTGTACATAACATGCAGTAAAATTGTCAGAGACGTGTGGGCTAGAGCCTTGTAATTGATCGATGCATACAGTGAAAGAGTCACTCTCTTTCTCTCGTGTGTGTGTGTGTGTGTGTGTGTGTGTGTGTGTGTGTGTGTGTGTGAGTGGATTGTGTGAATTAGAGTCAATAAATTATCATCATCAGTAAGCTTACAGAGTCTTTATGTCGTAGTCAATGGGCCTCAGCACCCATCCAAAGGCTTGCCCTGCTAAAGAGAAACAACACTGGGGACAACCAATGACAGCATGTTGGATGCAGCACAGTAAACATATTAAAGGAAGTGTCATTATATTGTCCGAGCAGGACAGAGGCCAAGACCCACATGATGTTTAATGACCCAGTGTATTAAAATTAACAAGGCCATTTTACTTCTGCTGCTTTCACATTTCCATCTAGTAGCTAATGTATAGATTTAACATAATGATATTAACATAATGTCAGGAGAAACGACATGAGATCAGAACGCTCGTTGTTTATTGTTGAGCTGCATTTTCTCATTTTTCAAAATAAAGTCAACCACCCTCATACCCGCAGAATCATTATATACTTTTGAATTGTTTATAATGATTAAAGGCTGCTCAAAGCGCATATAATTGTGTGTGTGTGTGTGTGTGTGTGCGCGTGCAGAGAGGAGGTATGGGCCCAGTCCTGCTCCCTTTGCCTCAGCAGCATCTCAGCAGGCTGACGTGGTTTATGGCTCCAGTTGCCCTCTCTGGGTCTGTTTATGGATTCCCATAGAACAGAGAATCATGGCCACTACAGGAAAAGCCAGCCAAAAACAACACCTCCACCATTGCACTCCTGCCTGCCTTCGCAATAACTCAACGCGCTGTTTATGTTTCCGAAGAAAAAAACGTATTCATAGTAATGACATAAGATGACTGTAAATTCTGATGCTAATGTTTAGTTTTTTTGTGGTTGATGTAAGATAAAAATGTCACCACAAATGTGGCTGGTTTATTGGATGTCGTTACAGGTTGGTGAAAAAAAAATTGTGGGCTTTGTTAAGGGAATGCTTTTTTCCTTTGGTTAGGAGTAGCATTGCCTTTGCACGACCAGTTATTTTATGATACCTGTAAGATTTATTACATGAAAATGTTCAACTTTGATAGGATAATGAAAGCGCACCACCAAGGGCATTGTTAATCGAGGAAATATTCTACCTGATGTATTTTCCCTCTGCTGTTCCCCCCCCCCCCAGTTCTCTTGTGCCAGTGCAGTGTGTTACTCTTTACTGAACGCATGCTTTAGCGGAGTGATAGTGGATGTGAAAATACTCTGTGGTCAAAGGTGGTAGGGGTTAGATGCAGCAGTACCATGTTGTGTTTCTTTGTGGTTCGATGGCCATACTGTAGTTGCTCAGGGTTGCTTTGTCGTAGGGGCAACTCCATCATCCTCTGAAGCTGCACAACTGGGGCACATCTGGTTTCTGGATGTGCTCGACTGGTCCCTCCCTGTAGTCCAGAGGGCAGCGTGTATCTGGGCGCCTGTCGCTGCCATTGGGGGTGCTGTGTCATAACAGTCAGAGGTTAGCCTCCTAGATTACTGATGTTATTAAACAGTCAACACCAGGTTTTGGTCTCAAAAGGATGCAAAGGAGAGCCATTCGTCATCTTCACTGTACACAGTCCACATCAGACACAGCCATGTTGGCCGTAAAGCTTTATGAGTGTTTCTCCTGGTTGTTCAACTCCCACTGCATCCATTAGGAAAACATGTCTGCTTCTCCTTTTTTTTATGGCCACGTTTGGTCTTGTTTTGCTGGGAAAAAAATCCTCTGTAAACGCTTCACTGTTACTACTGCATGTGTGTATGTAGTTTTGCAGAAGAACCGAAGAATGTAAAGAAAAGCATTTTTCTGTTGCATAGCTGTGAACCCTCCATTTGCTCCCTCCTTCCTCTGTCATCTACTCTTTCTCACTTTCTCCCCTCCCTCCCCGTGGATTCCCCAACCACACCACAACACCGTTAACAGACGCGGCCTTGACAGATTTACTGCCATCGTCTTTCCATTGGCCGCCAGCATGACAGCAGAGATTTAATGCCGCCTTCTCATTGGCCAAGACTTGACAGGTTAATTTATGGGTGCACTGTGATTTGATGCCTTCTGCCTTTGAAGTGAGTTACAGCTCTGTCGCTTATAGGACACAGAAACGGTGTCAGGTTGCAATCGTAAAATCTTATCCCTGAAGGGAGGTGCGCTGGAGTATAATAGTCCTGACGTCATGAGAGGAGAAGAAACCTTCTTGGGAGCAAAGACGGAGAAGAGAGAAATGTGTGATGGTATAAATTGCTAGGTGTCTACCCCCAAAATGCTTTCAAGAGTTCACAAAATATTCTGCTAATGCCAAAGACATAAATTCAGTTGTGTTGCAAAGAGAGAGGAATGGAAAATGTGTGTGATTGTGCAAGTCTGCATCCAGTCACATCTTGCTTCTCGAGCTTTTTCTACCTGCATGGGAATGTGCATTTGTCTTTTTCCTCTTCTGTCATTCCTCATCTTTAATGTTCAGCAGGTTTTTGCTTGACTTTAGGGTCAGAAGTGACTGAGTAAATCACACATATATATCATAGCTGATCAACAGCGGCACCAAAGTCACTTTGGCGTCCGACTACTGTATCTGCTCAGTGCAGCTCCAGCGTTCGTGCAACGCCATCATCTGTCTGCGGCCTATCTCTTCATCAGCCTGACAGTTTATCCTGACAAGATCAAGAAGAGCAAGAGAGCGAGGCCCTGTTAACAGCCTTAACCTCAAACCTCTAAGGGTGAAAAGCATGGCTGCGACTGCCCTGTCTATCAACCCCGAGTGAATTCATGCCTCCTTTCCCTTGGATAGCAAATCCCTCTCTTTACTCTTTCACTTCACACTTGAGGTCGTCTGCTCAAGTGGAAAATTGTCGGAAAATAAAGAGAGAGAGAGGAAATCCCTGGATTTTCCATGTCAAGTGAGATTGCATAATTTCATCAGAGACCTTCTCGTGAACTTGATAACTTGGGGTCACACACACATGCCCTCTGACAGTGTGCCATGTAAGGGAAAGAAAACAGGTTTTTCATCTTTAAGAGACATGATCCCTCTGAACTCAGAGGGATGACGGATAGTTTGGCGGTGTGTTTGAAGAGGTTGAGAGGAGTATACCTGTATAGAGTTAACCATTTCACTGAGGTCTTTTCTGTAGAATCAAGCTTTATGTGTGCACTGCTGTTTGTAGTATAACCTTTATATGATTGTAACTCTTTTTGGACTGGCAAAATCACATTGTGAGTAAGGGTTCTATCAAATCTACGGCTTTGAGTTGGTGAATAATTTGCATTTCGATAAATGTATACTAGACAAGAAATTAGTGGTTTTCAATTAACATCTTTCCTAATATTTGTTCAATGTGTTTCTGGTCTTTGGAAAGGTTGTGGCTTCCCAGATAAATATGTCTTTCCACAGTGCAGTGAGCATCCAGCACCTCTAAAGCCCAAATACGGACTCTTGTTGTGTCTGGTAGGTTGTTCCCTGGAGAAGCAGCTCGGCCCAAACACGTCCCAACAAGCTGTAGATTAATAGGGAGGCGTAAGGCCAAGGCATCTTAGTGTATCTGTCGAGGCCTAACACACCTCTGTTGGTTTACTCGGTCGGCAGGGTGCCCAGGAAGTCCATCCAGTTGAGGGCAATGTGGATTACCCTGTGTGGCCGCATAAATCTCAGCAACAAGGTCCTGCACAACTGAACTTGATCTTTTGAATTTAATCTGCATACTGCAGACCTTAAGTATAGGTGTACATGGTGGAGCAGGAGCCCCTCACACTCAGCAGCCTCTGGGGCTGCTCTCTTTGTCAGTGCTGTATATTATCATCGTTTTTAATTGATGCAGAGGTTTTAGTGATTGTTTGAATTGAGGACTGGCAGTCCAGTGCAGTATTGCACGTTGCTGTCACATACAGTAGATATCAGAAATAAGTGTAAACTGAAGCAACTAAATGGAATTAATGTATTATTTACATCCGTATTCAAAAGATTCCAGCCTGTTTTGAACCTCTGCTTCCCCGTTCTCCCGAACCAGACTACCGCCACTCTCAAATCTCTCGGGCTTCATTCCATACGTGCGATTGAGCCAAAATGCAAAAAGTTAATTTAGAAGATTCAGGATGCAAGTTCTGACTTGACTGGAGATTAGTTTGAATGTATAAATATTCATGATTTGAATGTATCACAACACGTAAGTAGGGCAAACTTTACTTTTCCCTTGTTACCAGTCAAATGGATGATGGCTTTCGCTTCTCTTCTCCTCTGTGATATAGTTTGTAGTACTGGGAATGATATGCAGAGGCTAATTAATCTTGCTGAGTTACACTAATTAGAAAAGTAGTGGCAGACATCTGAATATGGGACAGTCTGAAGCATGATGTGACCAAACATTCCCCGTCAGAGATGTTTTGTGAGGCAGGAGGCTGGCTGATGTCCCGTCAGTAATTTCCATACATTCATTAGACTTTGGCAACCCTAACAGAAATACTGGAAACTATGAGTACACCAACTTTGTACACTTTGGAGGCCATTTCTTCCATCTCAGATCAGTGTGAAATGGTTGCCGTTTGCTAAGACGCCCCTCAATTGACCCGGCTATTCTTTAATTTAAATCGCTAACGTTCTCATACTGGTGCAGGATGCCTTTTGGTTATAAGGCAGACCAAGATTCAGCTACATACATAATTTATTTCTGAATAATAGCCCCCAGTATAAGAGAATATTACAATATTTGGTAATCATTAATAAGTAATGTCTTTACACTTTCACTGCTCATTGTTTGACGAGAACTTTAGATTTATGGCAAATTCTTTAATATAATATCAAATAGTTATTAAGCAAGTGCGATAAGTCAAATTGATGCTTTTACATTAATGCTGACACAGTTGGGTTGACATTAAAATGCATGTGAGGGTTATGTTCACAGTTGATTCATTTAATTAAGGATTCTTCGCATGTCTGTTTTTCATTGAAAGAAAAGCTGCCGTTGTCTCTCGTTGTCTTGATTGCCACCTGCAGTAAACACTCGGCCTGTTCCTCTGTGTGAATGTCTGAGGACGTGTTCACTGAGGTGTCCAGGGAAATGGGAGTAACCCGGAAAGAGGAATTGAAATTTTAATGATGAGCAGCACCACCACCACGCTGACGGCCATGGAACACCTCAGACAGCTTAAATATCAACGCTAATTAACACAGAGAGGTGGGCTGTCACAGGCATGATGGATGTTGAGGGGAGCGGGGGGGGGGGGCTGATCACTGCCCTCAACCAACCAGCGATTCCTTTATTAATCAAAGCCTGAGATGAAAAGGCTCTCCCACACCTCGGGGAGAGGGAGATAGCAGCAGCTATTGTTGGGAGGGTTTCAATCATTTGCAGTGTGCTTGAGGTGTATTTGATCAGGGGGCATCCAAACATTTGCAGGAGACAGAACGTTTCTGCTTCTGAACGCTTGTTTTTGTGAACCTCTGATCCACCCACATGTATACAGAACAGAGTATGCACAGTCACCTGAGATTTACTGGTTGTTGGGGGGAATTTCTGTTTGGAGAGCCTATTTTTTGTGTCCCTCTGACAGGAGAGGTGAGCTTGTAGAGAGTTGGCTATCACTCTTAAACAGAGCTCTCCTCCCTGATGGAGTGAGCCAGACTGAGCACAAGGCAGCACTCCTACACTTTAACTCTGGACTGACTCCATGATCAGTCTGTCTCGCCGAGATGATTTCGAACCTAGATGATTTCAGCACTTTGTGTATGAAGATGGAGTGTTATCTCCCCCCTCTCTGGTCGCCTCCCCATCTACCTCACTTAAAGAGGTCCATTGTTAAGTGCCAGGGGCCTGTGGGTGCTGTAAATCAGGCTGCAGAGGGAGGGGATGTCTCCCATGGGGGAAGGCGCACACTCCCAGCAGCCTTGATGCTGATCTCATCCTGCCTATCCTAATGCTTTAATTAAGGAACTGGTCAATAGCAAGGAGGAAGGTGCTAAAGGGTATGATCCGCCTAACGTAAGACGGATGTGGCAATACCTACGCAGTCCCAATGACGGGCAATGCACTCGAAGAGATTCTTCCCTTTTTACTAAAGAATGTGTTTAATTACCCAGTTTGACTTAATTCTTCATTCGACCAACACCTATAGCAAATCTTAGTTCTTTAAAGGACTGACTGTGGTCTATATTTTTTCCAAGTTTTGTAATAAAATTGGATTTAGCAAACTCCATGTGACTGTTTTGACCTAAACTTAACATTTAATTGCAAGTTCCAAAAAGTGGAATGTAACTTCAGATCTAGGTCATATATTCCCAACCAACTCCAGGCCATGATATCAGTGATTGGCCCATGAACGAGTTGTATTGATCATCTCCGCTTTCACCATGACCAAAAAGCCAAAGCCCCTGAAAGCTACAGAACACTTGGCTTTGCACAATGCAAGTAACTTCTGTTTGTTACCGTCTCGAGGAAGGTTGTGAACACACAGTAATTTGGGATACACCTCCCTCTTGTGGTGCTGTCTCGGCTTTGTATAAAACGACCAATGTGATCAAACTATACTGCTCGTTGATTATTTAAGGCATTAAAGAGGGAATTAATCACTGAATTTGGATTTGGGTTCTGAATGATCAGAAAAAAAGGACTCAGTTTTAAGACTTTGGTTCAAGGAGATTTGCCATTATTTCAGAAAATCTATTTTTTTGAAAAGTAGATTAGAACAGTTAGGTAAAACTTGCAGCCTAATTTGAAATACAAATTGTAATTGCCATCATCTCATACAGTATAGGATGATGAAGTGGCTTGTACCAAAATGATGTATATAATGTGATATTTACCCGTCTCAATGCAGATCGACGGTCTTCTGACCCAAACTTTGTATTAACGCCAAATTGATGTGGAGGCAGGAGTTCCCCTTTTGGCATTGATCTCACTGCTTGTTTTCCACACACCTGCCTCCCAAGACTCGTTTATGTGTGTCGCACCATGTTCTCCCATTTCATTTATTATAACAACAAACGAGAGGAGCAATAAAGTGAGGACTATCTGCTTTTATCCCATTTATGTTAATTACTTCTAAGTGTTTTTTTTATAGTATTGTGTGATCATTTTCCACAAATATGGGAAAACATTTATTTGGTGTTTTTTCATCCCGCTAGAGAGAATATTGCCCCTCATGTAGTCATGGCTGCCATCTGCTGACAAGACTGGCGCATTATACATTTCTGAAATGTTTTGCAGTCTTTCGAGTTTCAGTAAGTATTTACAGCCATTTGAAAAGTAATTGAATTTATCATTTTACATTGACCTAAGTGGAAGGCAGCTGAAACGGCTCACAGATTTGAACAAGCATTTGTTTAAAAAGTGTAACAGCTTTATTGAGACTTGGGGCCCTAAAACTCCGTTCACTACAGAATGATTGACTGAGTCAAAATAGATTTCACTTCACCCCTGAAATGACAGAAAAAGGTGGGGCTCACATAAAAAATACTCCTTTCCAAAACAAAATGTATAGAAGATCCAACAAATACATGCAAAAGAAAAAAATATGCTGACTAATCATGGCTGCTACACTAACAAAAGCAAGAGCGGCAGCTTTTATTTGACTCCTAATAGCAAGTTGAGAGATGACTTTTCAGTTGTAAGAAATCATCAGACTAAGGATTATAACTTTGTAAATACTTTGATTTTCTTTTGAAGTGTAGGTCCCATACTATACTATCCCTAATACAATTTAAATATATATTAACTTCATAAAAAGTCAACTCAGTGGTAGGCCCCAAACTCCCTTTACATAATCTAAAAGTCTGACAGCAACAGAAGTACCACCAGTCTACAATACGATCCTCTACATTTGAGCTAACATCTTCAGTCCAGTGTTTACAGTCCGACTTCATCTTACAGAGGCCTAAAAATAACATCATGTAGGTTATCACTTTACAAAACACCACGCGGACCGTATATTCCCCTGTCCACAGCTCATCATCTTCATTGAAGACGCTCACGGTTAACCTGGAGATGAAATGACATGGCACTGTGTTCAGATCACATTCAGTTAGGTCAAGACAGAGGAGAGCTCTCGGACTCTGGGGATGAACCAAAAAATACTTAGTTTAAATTGATCTGGGCTCTGAATTGGACTAATCTGCACCACATTTCCCCAGTACCTCCAGCTGAAGTTAATTTTAGGCCTTGGACTAGTTTTAATTGAGTTGAGTGCTGACGTACTCTCAAGGGCTTTCAGGGTAAACCCCAGGATTTCTGATCACACGCTGTCCCGCCTCACTTACCAAAATACATTTGAAAGGACGGATGTTTTCAAATTCAGGAAGATCTATAAACGCTGAGCAGGAAAAAAAACAAGACTGACAGTTGTTTCTGGGAACAGAGAGACAGTAAAAACAATTTATATTGAGCAGGTTATTACAGAGGCACCTTCATTTCTAATTTCTTCAACAGACAGGCGGTTTCTACATCCAGTCATTAAAGGATAAAGAAGCTCAGTAACTTTTTTTTTCTTTTTTTTTTTTTCTTCAAGAGCATAAAAAAAAAACCCTCGGCTCTTCCTACAAAACCTGTATTTCAACAGTGTAATATATAGACAGTCAGGACAAACCCCTTTAAAACAAGGTAGAACAGTGAGGATTGTAAGCCAACAGTCGCTACACAACTTAACTAATGCCAACATTAGTTGGACATTTTACATTTCAGGAGCATCTAGTTAACTTTTAGTGTGTTTCCACCTGTTTGTACACATCATCTGTAATCCAGTTTTACAGCGAGGCGAATAGCATGTAAGAAACTATTTGAAATCCATTTTTTAAAAAAGGTGATCTTCTACATGAAGTGAAAATGGAATACCAGTTGCATTCTACTCTGTAATAAGCCCGATTCATGTTTAGATCACTGTCGTAAAAAAAATTACATAAAATTTTATTTCAGATGTGTTACGCACACCTTCAGTATTGAATAGGCCCACAAGTCTGCCGTGACCTTTGAGCGGTAGCTGGTGCAGGATTAGTAGCGTAAGGAACACAAAATGAGGAGAAGTTGAACACTGAGAAGCTACACAGTTCTGTGTGTGTGTGTGTGTGTCCTTTAGTGAACTGTCCAGATGGAGTAGAGGCCAGCACTGGGGTTGTTTGCAGGTCAACAGGATACCTAAGAGATGCTGCGCGATACGGTGACAGTCAACACAGTCAAAAATACTTGCAATCCCTCGGCAGCAATAGCAAAAAAAAAATACCTGCAACCTTTCAGATAAAAGGAGACGTGTGCATTTTTAATTCAGTTATTGCTATAGTAGTACCAAGACCTGTTGTCCAAGATCATGAATTAGTCCTTCCCCTTTTGTCTGGGTTGTAAATGGAACAGTAGATTAAAAAAATATAAAAATCCATTATCGAGCTCTGTGAATGAGCTGGCGAGAGCAAAAGTAAAGTTTGGTTGTGATTAAGCAACGCTGTTTTCAGCTGACAGTACTGTTGAGCTCTAACGTGTGACATTGCTGAGCTGCAGGCTGCTGTCTGTAGGGTCTCTGTGGGGAGCGGAGGGTCAGACAGTCAGACGGTTGTTGGAAGGCTGTAGGGGGCTCCAGGAAGCTGAATGGGCGGATGCATCCTGTGAGAACTGGCTTTCCTCTTTGCTCATCCCCACTGTACACAGGCGCCGGTGTCTCAGCAGCCTGTCTGTCCGGGAGAAGTTCTGGAGGCAAGGAAAGACGTGCGTTTCAGTCAGCAGAGTAATAATACCGACAATGCTGAAAGATGGATTTATTTGATCCTGACTAAAATGCAGAAACCTAAAAATACAAAATGGAAATGTGAAGCATATACAATGGCGAACTAACCTGATGGCAGCGATCACACTGGTACGGCTTCTCTCCGCTGTGCACCCGCTTGTGTCTGTCCAGGTGGTAACGCTGAATAAACCGCATGTCGCACGCGTCACAAGCAAATGGCTTCTCTCCTGTGAACACAAGCCGACCATTTAGCAGTATATATATATATAATCTATATCAAGTCTCACTATTTCACTGGAGGCAATATATTCTTTTAATTAATTAGTCATTTTGAATGTCTTTTTTGCAAGTCCTGGCCAAAAGAGCTGCGCACACACATGTGGACTAACACAGGACCAACTTTCACACAAAGAAGAGTAAGGACAGGGCGAAATAGGTATACGGCATTATAACAAATTAAAAACATAAATACTATGCATTAAAACAACTGTACACGCCCTATTTAGTTCTTCAAATCATTTAAGAAGGTTTGAGTCTGTGCTTTTTTTTGTAGTTTAAAATAAGCAGATGGAATTTAAGAAGAGTGCTTCGCTGGCTGAATAGTGGACTCATTACTCATAACAGTACCCCGTTTCCCATATCTAACCATCACATGTAGAAGAGTGAGAAAGACAGCATTGAAGACGTGCGCTGTGAGTTCTCACCTGTGTGTGTAAGGATGTGTCGCTTGAGGTGGTAACTACTCCGGAAAGCTCCATAGCAGTGGTCACAGATGAAGTTCTTCTGGACTTTCAAGGAACTGTCATCGCTCATATCGATTTGCGGAAGTAAATGCTAACGACAACGACAAAATTAGTTGAAAGAGAGCTGATGATCAAGGGTAGATCTCTGCACTTTGGCGTGTATTCCTAAGATTGGAGCTTTGTAACCATCCTTACCTCCACCTTCACTTTGCTGGATGACCCTGATTTTCTGTGCTTCTTCTTGGGTTGCATATTCTGGTTTGCTTGCATGTCCTTTCCATCCATCATTCTTGATGAGTGATAGTCCCCGTCTTTTCGTATCAGCTTTTGAAGGACGAAAAGGTAGTAAGTAACGTAAACACACAGGTACATATACAGGATGATACTTCAACCCCGTCTATACGCCGTGTATAAACATAGACTAAATGGTTCACTATAGTGTAGCTGTGAGCAGGTATTAATGTATTTGCCAACAACTAGAACTCCTCCTGTGGGCGGGCTGATGTATGAACACATAATGAATGACAATTTAGTAAATTATTAATTATTGAAAAACATTGATAAATACTAATAAACGTTTAATATCAGCTTACAACTATATTATAGTGTGTTATTAAATATGAATTAAATGTTTGTAAAATGCTTAAAACAATTCACATCATATAACTCCAATGAATGTGTCCTTGTGAGTCCAACCACAGAATTAAAGCTACCTGCTTTTAAGCTTTAGGTTTATTTAGGTTTATTTTTACTGCCATAGCGTTTCACAATTACCAACTTAAATGTTGTTCGTGAAAGCGAACAAATAACAGAGTCAGCACTAACAGCTTTAACAGGCTTCTCTCTCATACCAAGGGTGGACAGCTCCCGGCTGAAGGGTGGCCCATGTTACTGTGGTGGGGTTGTCCATGGTGAACCTGGTGTCCGTGGTGGTTGTGGCTGTGCTGCGAGTGGGTTTGGTGGCTCTCAGGACTGGACCTGTGCCCTTGACCCAACGGTAACATCATCCTCTTTTGGCCTGGGATGTTGTTGGCTTGCATCAGGGCCATGCTGGAGAGCACCGCCTCGCAGCCCAGCAACCCAGCCTGGCAATACAAACACCATGTCAGAGAAGAAAGAGGGAGGGGGGGAGGGGGGCGCGGCGCAGGACTCCTCACAGAGACGAGGAGTCAGGGGAATGAGAAGGAGTTGAGTAATGGGAGTTGAGTAATGGGAGTTACAGAGAAATGCACTGGCATTAGGATTGGGAGTACAAGCTAAAAACATGATGGTGAAGAGACTTCCACTGACCCATTTCATATGGTCTCGAACAGAGTTGTTAGAATGGTGTGTCATCGTCGGGGGTTTGAATGCGTGTGTGTTTGTGGGAACAGAGGGGGCTTCACTTAGGATGAGGGGTAACAGAAGAGACCACACCCACCCAAATCATCTGGGGCCAAAGCCTGAAAGTAGAGGCATGACAACATGAGGCTAACATTTTTACATGCTGCAATGAGGAGCTAGAAATCCAGACTGATTTAATGACTTTTACCAATCACCAAATTTGGATTTATGACCAAAAACGTAGGTCCAGCACTCTTATGCAGGTTTCAGGCAAGAAAGCCCCAATGGTTTGGTGCATGCCATGTTCCAGGGTCGACAGAAAGCAAAAGAAACAGATTGAGGAAAATTATGACATCGAATGGGAAAAAGGAAAATGGGGAAAAAATAAAATAAAGCAAAATACATAAAGCCTTTATAATACTGAAATATATAAAAGACAAGTATTAAAAAAAAAAGCTGCTGTTTGAGAGCAGCAAGTGCGCCGTAAGCACAGTTTTATCTACCGTATATTAAATTATTATGGCCATCATAAAATGTAATACAGGCAATGATCGGATGTTTTCGATTAATACAGTGAACTGGATTTTGGGCAATCAAACCTGGCACTGAGGTTACAGGTGCAATGACTGACTCAATAATGACAATTTTGAAAAAAATATGTAATTGCGATTATTTTCACTGATATTGCAATTGTGATATTATTTGCGATCATTTTAAAACATTAAAATGTTTGAGGTGCGATTTTTTGCAAGGATTTGTATCAAACAAAGATGTTTTCTTACATCTGTAGAATAAGATGTGAAGGCCGGGACGTCTCGGCAGCATGACAACGACCATGTAACGATTCTGACCAAATTAAAACGAGTTGTGCAGCCCATGACTCAATGACCTGTGGTGCAATTCTAAGGCATTGCATGATAATGGTCGAACACCACAACAGTATTTTCTTGGAATTAATAGGCATCGTGTAAAAATAACTAATAATAAAACGAAGACGTGTATATATTTGTAACATACAACAAACGTTTATAAGGGAATTTTTCTCATCTTCCATGTTTGCTCTATTACCTTCAGTCAGTGGACGTTTATGTTGTACTTTACTTATTTAAACAGCCAAATGATGTTAGCAATAATACCTCTAATACCTGAGAAAGTGTCTGACTTCTTGAGCAGTTAGTTAGTACTTACTGAACTAGAGACAGACACATTCATTACTTATTGCATCCTTAAGTATGTGGGATAGCTATTTTAATGATTTGCGTGGCTCTTACAACACATTGTTTTAAATGTAGAACAAAAAACAGCTGTTTCTAGACCCTACACACTTACAATTAATCTGAAAAATAGGACTAACTCTTGGTTTGAGTTGAGCATATAACACCTAAAAACGCTCAAAAATATCAAGCAGTTTGTCCTTCCTTTAAGTTAAAGAGAATGGCCGTAAACTCAGTGGGGAATGGTTAATCCATGGCTCTGGAAAGCTGTATATTTGATATAAAAATGATTTCCCAGGCAGTCAGAGAAATTAACATAAAACCACAACGCACAGACCTACTCAATGACTGATAAACCACAGGGAGCATTATGATTATTGCAGTTTTTTGTGTAAATGAAAATTACACAGCAGATGGATATACACAGCCCATGCACAAAAGCTTTGATAGTAAACAAACACAACTAGCCTGTTCCTCACTTCAGTGGAAGACGTTTTCTTGTATCTAGCCATAAGTTGAAACGGATTGGGTTGTGCGTCACTCTCATTTGTAAGCGTGTGGTTTATGATCTCGCAAAAACAAACACGATGGCTGTTTTATAAAATGGTGCATTTGTGCACAAGTGAGCTAGCTAGCGACTAATCATGCAAACGTTGGTTTGTTACGAGTTTCTGTTGAAAAAGCGGTCATCTCCGAGCAAATGAGCTTCACTAATCAAGCGGGACTCTATCTAGAGACCACGGGGGGGAGGCGGTGTTTAGACAATAGGTTGAACAATGTGAAGCATGCTGAGAGGCTCTGCCGAATGAAACAGAAGAGGCTAAACTGCTAGCTAGCTAGCTAGCCAGCCAGCCAGCCAGCCAGCCAGGAGTTGGGTTTTCGTACAACTCTTGTATGACTGAACCCCCACCCGCGCCCCAGACAACACAACAGCAGCCAGGCAGGGCGTGCGGTGCAGGCTCAGCGCCGACCGCCAAATAACACCTCCTTCACCGGCCACAGCGGCTACAAACAGACACGTAGCTGATCGTGAAATGTTGTCAAGAGCTGCGAAGGAAATTCGCGTGAAAAGCGACCACTTACCTTTCGATTTTTAGAGTTTTGTAGGTTATTATTTTTTGTCGCACTTCCAATTTTTTCTCAGTTTACAAACACTGACAGGAAACGCCACCGGAAGTGCTCCCCGGAGCGAGTGGTGATTGGCCAGACGCCCTGTCACGTGACCGAAGCGCAACGACCCACATATGCGGCCATAGTTGTGAGGGAGTGAGCCCATGGATGACATTATTAATCGACGTTTAAATCATTTAATTGCAAACATTGGAAATAACGAATTAAATATACTCTCGTTATGGCAACAAAATTGTTTTTTTCCTATAACGTTAAAAAATCGATCATTTTACTTTTATCCAAGAAACGTTACGTTACTATTTATCAGAATAGCACTTTACTACATTTCAAGTTGCATCTGTTACAGAGTAAAAACAAAAGTCACATGAGAAAGTCTTGATAAACTGTGTTCAAATCAGAATGGAAAACTTGTTTTGTTCTTGTTTTTAAACTTCCATGCCATTAAAATCACATTGAATTGATTGATATTCAGAAGCTGCAGGTGTGTCTGCATCTATCTTACTTATCTGATTTAATGCACCACCACCCACGAGCCCCGCTAAGTGACATAACCACAATTTCGTGAACTGTACAGAAGGGGCACCCTGGGCCTGGCTAACATGCTAAGGCCACAAATAAGTTCAATTCAATGAAAAAATGAAGTCCTAATTATTTTATTCTTGACATTTATGAAGAGAGTGACCCTTTGTTTGGTTATTTATTAATTTTTTGGTTTATTGTTTTCAGATTTCAGGGTTTAGTATCTCTCCATATATCATCACAACTGTCTTAATCGATCAAATCACAGTTTGTTTTTTTGTTACAATTTGAGACATTATTATGGCAAGCTTTGTGCATTCTAGATAGTCAAGGGGTACACATCTTGTAGGTTGGGATTTGCTCACAAGTCAATTCCCAGTCTTTCAATTTCGTCAATGAAGAAGTCCATGTCTTTCTGGGAAAGCTGCGGAGAGAAAACAACCACGCGGAAGAAGTTGACCTTGTTTCCCAAAGGTTGGTAGCCCACCATCATGGTGCCTTGTTTCATCATGCGCTCCTTGATGACTGGAGCTACCTTTAATTAAGAACAAAAAGACACACGGACACACACAGAGTTAACTGTTTGATTCAGATGTGTTGCACATATTTGAAGATGGTGGCCATCATGTTTGTTTGTGTGTGTGTGTGTGTGTGTGTGTGTGTGTGTGTGTGTGTGTGTGTGTGTGTGTGTGTGTGT